TTGACCATAATCATGACAAAGTTGTCACGGGTGTGTGCTTAGATCGTGTCCTGCTATCGAGGTATGCTGCGAGTGCCGCGGGAACTAGCAGACGTGTCTTGGTTCTACGGAGTGACCCAACACGGGGCTTTCTCCATCGAGTGCGGCTTGTGCTCGGTGCACGGACGTAGCTGCCCTGCGACAAGATTCAGGGTCAAGGCTCGGCGCAGGTCCGACGTCTGTCGGGCCCGCCATGCCTTCCAGCTCCGGGTCTTTGCCATCATCGGTGCCGTCGGACTGGCCGTGGCGATCTGGCGCATGATCCGAGACCGCATCGTCGTCTCCACGCCGGAGCTGAGAACGATTTGGCGAGTGCTGCAGCCGGCCAAGAGCACTAGGACAACGACGCGCTCGACCACATTGAGAAAGTGCGCGCTTATATGATGAGCCACTTCCCCGGGAGCCGCAGGCATGTGGCGGGTGGGTGGCGGGTGGCAGCAGCTGGCCGCAGCTGGCGGGTGGCGGCGGGTGGCGGCGGGTAGCAGCTGCATCCGTACAAAAATTCAAACTTTTCGCAGGCGCGGACGACGACCAACGGCGTGGGGTGCGGGAGAAGGCAAAAGGTGTGGGGTGGCATCACCGCACTACGAGGAGAGCGCAGAGAAGGCAGTTGGTTGAAGATGCAGCACTCTGGAGGCTTTCGTACTCCTGTGCGTGGAACGCCTGCTCGTGGTCCACGTGGCACCCCCTCGGTGTACTACACCCCTCCGGCCCGATTTGCGTCTTCGCCCTTTGCCTCCCGCGCCGACCGGACGCCCTCTACGCCCCTCCGCGTCCTTGGCGACGCAACCAATGCCCGCGCCACTCCGCGTGCAGGTGAGAATGCCAAGCCGGTGCCACCTCCTGCCAAGGATCCGCGTTCTGTTCAGCCCGAGAACGACATGGTCCTGCTGCTCGATGCCGCACTCGCCCGTGAGCGGGCGCTCGAGGCCGAGCTGGCGGCGGCGCGCGCCGATGCTGCCGCTGCACAGGCCAAGGTAGCTGAGGAGTACGAGACTCAGCTGGAAGCAGCACGCGTCGATGCTGCCGCTGTGAAGGCCAGGGCGGCCGAGGAGTACGATGCGCTGTACAACGAGTACGTGGACATGCTCGCTGAGCGCGAAAAGGGCGAGCGGGCCGAGGTCCGCAACCGCGCTCTCCAGATGCAGAACTGGGTCTCCAACTACGAGACCGACATCACGTCATCGGCGCTTCAGGTAGTGAGCCTGCAAAACGAGCTCGGCGAGCTCGAGTCAGAGATCTTCACCGCCCGCCTCCGCGAGCTCGACATCCACCAGCTCCGCAATTTGGTGACCAAGGCTTGGGCCGACCTCGCCACGCTCAACGCCGCCCACACCAAGCTCAAGGCCGAAACCTCGGCCTCGCTTGACTCAGTCTCGGCCTCGCTGCAGGCCTTTGCCACCGCGGCCGTCACCTCGGCCGCCGATTCGGGCCTCTTTGCCGAGCCACGCCCAATCACAACGTCGGCTGAGACACAGACGGTCGCGCCGCCTGCGACCGCAACCACTGCGGTCCAGGTGAGTCCGGATCCGCCGGCGCCGCAAAGCCTGACCATGTCGGGCCCGCTTGCAGTCGAGAGCGTCAAGGCGAAGGCGCTGCCGGTGTCGCGGATCCCGCGGCCGGGCGGGTGCAACTGCAAAGGCAAGCTGAGGAAGGCTCTGGCCCAGCTCGAGCTTGTCAACACCAAGTACCAGGCTGAGTTTGCGCGCCGGCGCAAAATCCACGATGAGCTCGTCGAGCTGCGTGGCAACATGCGGGTCTTTGCCCGTGTCCGGCCGGTCCTGCCCGCCGAGGCGGCGTCTGGCGGCACCTCGATTGTGGAGGTACCCGACGAGGAGACGCTGGTCATTGCCCCGCTTGCGTCGAACAAGCGGCCCCGGACCTTTGAGTTTGACAACGTGTTTGGGCCACAGGCGTCGCAGGACGAGGTCTTTGACTACGTCGACCCGCTCGTCACCTCGCTGCTGGACGGCAAGAATGTCTCCATCCTGGCCTACGGCCAGACCGGCTCCGGCAAGACGTACACCATGCAGGGACCGCCTGACGCACCGGGCATGATCCCACGCTCACTGGGCAAGCTCTTTGACCTCATCAACGCCGACGATGCCGATGCCGACGTCTCGTACGCGCTTCAGGCCTCGGTCATCGAGATCTACAACGGCGAGTTCCGCGATCTCCTAGTCGAGGACGCTGTGACGGCGGCGGCCGGCTACGGCGCAGCCCGCCCTTCTGCAGCGTTTGCTTCACCGGCGCGCGCGTGCTCACCGGCGCGCGCGCCGGGCACGCCGGACGTGACGGCTTCGCCGCGCATTGACCTCATGACTCGCACGCCGTCGACACCGTCGACGCCGCGTACGCCGCGGAGGCGCAGTGCTAGAAGTGCACCGGCTCCCACTGAAGCCGATGGCATGACACGGACCACGTCAGTGACGGTCGAGTTCAAGGGCGTGTCGGCCGAGCCTGTGGCGTCGATGGCTGATGTTGAGGGCCTGCTTGTCCGGGCCGAGGCCGCGCGGGCCAAGGCGTCGACGTCGATGAACGAGCGGTCGTCGCGCTCGCACCTCCTTGTGCAGCTGATGGTGGAGAAGACCAACATGCGGACGAAGACAATTCACACCTCCAAGATGGTGCTCGTCGATCTGGCCGGCTCCGAGTGCGTGGGTGCGTCCGGCGTCAAGGGCATCAACCTGCGTGAGGCCAAGCACATCAATCGCTCGCTTTCGGCCCTCGCTGACGTCCTGGCCGCAATCCGGGCCGGAGCACCGCACATCCCGTTCCGCAACTCCAAGCTGACCCAGGCGCTCTCGGACTCGCTTGCAGGTAACGCCAAGGTCCTGCTCTTTGTCAACATTGCGCCGCTCGAGCAGTTCCTCGTGGAGGCCTCCCACTCGGCGGCGTTTGGCTCGTCGGCGCGGCGCATCATTGTGCAGCAGGCAACGAGCGGCACGGCAGCGAGCTCGCCGGCGCCGGCGAGCTCGAGCAAGGAGCCGGCAACCGCCCCAGCCTCACCGAGCAGGCTCGCCGGCTCTCCGGCGGGGGGTGACGAGGCGCGGGCCTCGCCGCTCCGGCGGAAGGTGCTGACCAAGCGCCGCAAGCCGACGACGCCGCCGGACTTTGTGTTCTAGTCTCTGATAATGAAGACGATCGAGTGTACAGTATCTACCGTGTGGCGTAGCCTGGCTGACAGAAGTGACTAGGAACTTCATTCCTGGCTAGCAGCGGCATCGGGTGCCGATGCACGTTCGGAGGCGGTTGGACTCGCGTCGGCCGGCGATGCAGCAGCGTCTGCGTCTGCCGGCGGGGTGGAGATGGTCACAATGTCCGAGTGCGACGAGAGCCCGACATCATTCTGAGCTTGCACGCGAAAGTGGTAGGTGGTGTCGGGCGTGAGGCCGTCCTCGGTCCACTCATAGGCGAGGCCGCCGATGATGGCGGTCCAGTCTTCGGGTGTGCCCGTGGCGCGAGTGACCTTGAACTTGCGGATGGGCAAGAGTGTGGCATCGCTGGCAGGCGACGGCGGGTCAGCCCACGAGAGGTGGATCGAGGTTGGCGAGAGCACCTTGCACACCGGCGGATCGGGCTTGTTGGGCACGGGCCCGCCCTTGGACGGATCCGAGACGAGGATAAAGACAGACTCTGCGAGGCGGATGACATCCGAGTGGTTGAGCGGGTGCTTGGTGTTCTTGCGGACGTGAATCCAGCCCTCGTCGCTGTCGAGGTCGGCGGCCGAGACCGGCCCGCGCTTGACAAATGTGCCCGATGCCGACAAGTCCTCGATCGAGTGCGAACGCTCAAGGCGGATGCGACAGTGCGCGCGCGAGACCGATGACGTCGAGTCCTTAACTACCATGATTTCGTTGGTACACTCGGGCTGCTTCTTGTTCCGCCGGCCGATGGTCATGTCGCGGAAGCGCATAAGGAAGGTCTTGCCGGCCGACTCGCCGCGGATGACCTCCAACACCAGCTGCCGCTGGACCATGAGTTGGGTCAGCTCCTGGATGGAAAGGACCGTAAAGATGACAGATCCACACTTGATCTGCGAGCCCTCATGCAGCGTCCGCCCGGCCTTCTTTCGCTGCGACGGGGACTGCTCGGCCGTGCCGATGCAAAGCCACTCCTTGTCGGCCTCGCCGTACTTTTTGAAGAACGTGCCCGAATTGGATCCTGCGTCCATGACGTAGTATGACTCGGACTTGACATCGTACCGAAGAACGCAGTGCTTCTTCTCCAGATCGCCTTGACCGTGATCTCGCACCCCTTCCGCCCAATGTACGACTTTTCCGCCTTTGAGTCGTGGATGACGGAACGCTCTTCATCGCCAAAGCCCAGCGTGAGCCGGAACTTTCGTGGCTCGATGCCCGCAGCCACTGTCCATCGACGAGCCAGAAGGACCAAGGTGTCCGCCCACACCACCGGCCGCCAACCACGGAGACACACAGTCACATAGAGACACAGACACAGAGTGAGTCACAACACGGGCACACGTTGTCGTCGACCCACGCTACACCCTCTCCCACACACTCTCCTCTGCCCCCCTCCCCCCCCTCCCCCCTCCCCCCCCCCTCCCCCGTCCTTCTCCTTCCCCGCTCCTCGCAAGCCATAACAGCGAACACGCCAGCAACCCCCCCCGCCCCTCCACCTCCACCTCCACCTCCACCTCCATACGTACTCCTCTAAATCC